CCACCTACGAGGAGGTGAGCGCCTCGGCGGTCCTCCGGCACCGTTCTCAGGGCGGGCACAGGTGCCGCCTGCGGGGTCCGTTTTCTGCCCAGCGAGCTCTGAGCTCGGGTGCCGGGTTGTTGCAGAACTCGGTGTCAGCCTCCAGCGTTGCCAAAGCGTGCTGGCAGCACGGGCTGCACCATACGTGGGCAGCTGGTTGGTAGAGATGCTTGTGGAGAGAAGTAGGTCTGAAAAACTGCTCCACACTGTGAGTCAGGTTCGGTACCTTGTCTGTCCTGCTTATCTTGGCGTGGCCCAGGTGACTTCCTTATGCTTTTTGCCTTTAGAACATGTTAGTTTAGGATTAACAGCATTCGATTTGACACATCTGCGCTGGTTGCTCGGTGCCATGTTTCCGTGGCCCACAGGGTGGGTGAAGCTAAATGGTTTTGAGAGGGGAAAACTAGGTGTGAACGTAATAGCGGGAGGCTTTCCGGCGCTAGAGTTAAAGTTGGATGTTTCTTTTGGTACTGGTCTTGGAGCGTTAGTAGTGTTGTGAAACTGCACCCTCATTTCTAAAGAGAATTTTTGTTTTTTCAGCTAAAAGAAGAGAATGCCAGCTTGAGAAGCAAGATCAATAAGCTTCAGATTTTCTCTGAAACTCAAGCAGACAAGTGCGTAAGCCACAGTATGGGGGAAAGTAACCACATAAGCAAGGAGTTGTCTTAGAAGAGGTGCTCACTGGAAACAGTCAACGTCTTTAAAGAAGAAAAATGTAGTTGAAATCTATGCTATTTATTAAAAAGTTCTAACAAACCTGATTTTCTTATTGAAAAAGGCTTGGAAAGTAAGTAGCAAGCTGACATCTGATGATCGTGTTTGTGTGGCTTACGCTTTGTGCAGTTTAGGTGGTTAGTGAAAACGAGGGTAGGGCTCGACAGGATGCATTTCATAAAGCTGCAGATTAACAAAGTAAGGAATCGTAATCTCTCTTCTGTAAAGCAAGAAAAGCATTTTTATTTTTGCTGGTGAGCAACTCGATACTGGGAGACTTGACTTTCCTGAGGTTAAACAGCCCAGTGACCTATCCAGGGTGGCAATTCCTGAAGTTCATATGTGAATGCTCTGTGCTGTGCTGTTCCTCATAGTGAGGCAGCTGGTACTTCCATGGTGACAGGGTAACCATTTGTTGCAGAGTTGCCCCTACCTAGGCTGATTGTGACCAGCTGTGGTTTCCGTATGGCCTGTCTGCCTTCAGCTGTATGGTTCCTGTCAATGCTAGTGGCTGTCGAACAAAGAAATCCCCTGAGCCACAACCCAGAGGTGTACTTCTGTGGGAAGATTTCATTTTTCTTCCGACATGAAAGAAAGAGTCGCTTCATCCTTCCTTTAAGGTATTTAATGTTGCAAGTGCTTACTGAACATTGTCTCCTGTTTTTTAAGGATGAGGAAGCTTGAGAAAAAGCTTGAAGAAAACAAAATTAAAGAAGAAAAAGAAGCACAGGATTTGGAAGCAATGGTGCAGCACGTGGAACAAAATCTCCAGCTGATGACTGTAAGTGTTGGCGTTTGCCATAACAGCAGAAGCTTCTTTGCAGTCGGAACTGTGTGGTTTTGTTCCTTTTCCTTCCTCCCCCAGAGAGTGAGGGAAGCTGAAGTGATTGCTTCACCCTTGCGAGCACTAAACAGCTCTGACCTGGGTTCATATTCTTCCCTGATATCAAGACTGTGTCCCAGTCTAGAACTTCCTTCATTACTTCTTGCAGAGATACCATTTTCAGATTCATCAATACCTTTGATTGCTTTTTTGCAGCCTTCTCAAAATGCCTGTATGATCTAAGAGCTGTTTTTCCTGCTTGCTTATTTATGCTGAGTACCTTTTCCTCTTATCCACAAACAAAATTTAATGGCTGGAATTTGATGGTGAAGCTAGGTGATCTTTAGGGTCCCTTGTAACCCAAACCATTCTATGAATCTAAGCGATGACAGCATCTGAAGATGGCAGAAAGGGAAAATGGGGAGGGGAGGACACAGCTGATCAGACACAACTGGGGCACTGTCCCCATCTCGTGAAGCATTCAGAACACGAGGTGGTATAACACACACCGTGTCACTCGAGGTTACGTGCTGGGATTGTGCACTCCTACCCAGCTCAAAGTGCCTGCTGTGTCCTGAGCGCTGCTGTGGTGCAAGTAATCTTTCTTCTGTTTCAGAAACGGGCTGTTAAAGCAGAAAACAGTGCAACAAAACTGAAGCAGGAAAACGCACTACTTCAGGTACGGAGCAGTGTTCTTAAGGCCTTCCTGAACGTACTGGGGCTGAGAGCAGACATCTCGATGTCTGTAAAAAGGGCGTTGAAAAGTTTTGGCTGCGCCTCGCTTTTCCTACTGAATGCCACAGAAAATGTTCTGTGCAGACTGACTTGATCTCTGCGACGCGTGGTACTTGGCTTACAATTTTGCTCAAGTTTGGTGTGATCTTGAAATGCTCTTCAGTATTTGGGACCTGTGAATGCTGTAATGCACCAGGGCAAATGGGTGTCTAGCTGTAGGAAGGTTCTTCTCTCAACAGAGAAGAGAGAGGAACGTGGGAGATACTACAGAGAGCTCAGCAGAGCCCGCGTAGTGGTAGACAACGGCGTCAGTGCCGGGTCACAGCGTCCGTCCCCACCATCTGGGTTGGAACACGCTGCTTTTGTGCTAGACTGGTTCTGTGAAGCAGGCAGACTGGAGGGCTGCTGGCTGTCAGGCTGTCATGAAAATGCTGCATACCTTTTGAGTTTTAGTAAAAGCTTCTGAGTTGTAGTTTTCTGTCAGACACCGCCCTCCACAGCTGGGAAGACGTTATTTCCAGGCAGTCTGGGATCCATTTATTAGTTGTTGAACCTAATAAATTGCTGTCTGAATGTATTCATTGGTCGCTGTAGTTGTAAAGTGACTACTGGAGTTCTGTGGTTGTTTTCATATAAGATTTTACCTGTTTCCTCCCCAGGTTCAGCTGAAGAACTACAAGGCAGAGAACGAAGCCTTGAGGTTGGGCCAGTCGGCGAGTCTGGCCGCAGTGAAGCAGAACACGGACACGGCCTTGCAGAACCTTCTCACCGTGATCTCGAACTCCCGCTCCTCGATCCAGTGAGTTGTTTTACGTGACTCTCCTAACGCTATCCCAGAGTTATCCCAAACTCCCGGTCCTCAATCTAGTGAGTTGTTTTATGAAGACTGGAGAGGGACTTTTTACAAGGGCATGTAGTGATGGGACAAGGGGTAATGACCTTAAACTGAAAGAGGGGAGATTTAGATCAGATCTAAGGAAGAAATTTTTAACATTGAGGTGTAACCGTAAATGAGGTGTACACCACCTCCAGTGGTGAGGCACTGGAACAGGTTGTCCAGAGAAGCTGTGGCTGCCCCATCCCTGGAAGTGTTCAAGGCCAGGTTGGATGAGGCTTTGAGCAACCTGGTGTAGTGGAAGGTGTCCCTGCCCATGGCAGGGGGGTTGGAACTAGATGATCTTTGAGGTCCCTCCCAACCCAAACCATTCCATGATTCTATGACTCTCCTAACACTATCCCAAAGTTGTCACAAACTCCCAGTCCTCAATCCAGTGAGTTGTTTTACATGACTCTCCTTACACTATCCCAGGTGCTTGTCTGAACACTGAGGTCACAAGTAAACGCCTCCAGTGTTGCTTTTTTTTGGGATTGAAACTCGGGTTCTTGTATTCTGCATGCCAGATCAGCCAGTCCATGTTCTTACCTGCGATGTATTTTCCTCCAAGTTTAGGTAATAAAAATAACTAGAGTGTGTAAGTCTTATTTTTTTTACTTAATGTAAACCCGTTACACTTAGACTGAGTCTCTTATGCTTCACGTCAGGGAGCGAAGTGTTCAGTCCAGAGAAACTGCTTCCTGAAAAATCCCTTTCCTCAGGCACACCCCTCCACGATGCTGCTTGGCCGCTTTGTCCCCCTCAGCCTGACGCCGTGTCTCTCCCGCCTTCCAGGCAGCTGATCTCTGGAGCAGAATCGCTGCAGCTCGTCGCTGATCTCCTGAAATCCATAGACAGGATTTCTGAGACGTCAGAAGACAGTCCGTGAAACTACAAAACGGATTCAAAGGGAGAACTTCGCTTTCACGCAGAAATCGTTACTTAAAAGTTAATTTCCAATATCCAACCTCGTTCGACATCCGAAACTGTTAGTGCTGCTGCAGAGCTGGCTCTTCCATCTCTACCCACTGTGCAGCTAAAACCGTA